CCCCCGCCGCCAGTCTCCGGCGCCAGGCTACTTCCTGGACTCTGCTGGGATGGGTTCAAAGTAGAGAAAGTGGAAAAGGAAAGAGTTGCCCAGGCGAGAGAGGGGAACAGGGCCGCAGACTCTCTGGCCCCGGGGAAGGATGGTGAGCAGGGTCCTGGCTGGACGTAGGGCCAGACTTCAGGAACAGAGGAACATGATCGGCGACTGACAGAAGTGCAGATGTGGGCGGGGACGCAGAGGGACAGACTTGGGGGTGGGGCATATGAGGAGGGACCTAAAGGGGATAGAGGTTTTGTCATAAGAGGGACAGACTGGGTCCTGCCAGAGGACCCGCAGGACCATGGGAGGCAGGGTGGGTGAGACAGCACAGAAAGCCAGTCATGGCCGGAAAGGTAGAAGGACCATCCCATGCTGATACGTGGAAAAGAGATGCGGAGGAGTTATGGGATCTGATGAGGGGGGTAGGAGTCGGGGGAGGGGGAAGAGGAAAGGGTCTTGCAAGGTAGTCGGAATCTTAGAGGTGGCGGAGACCCCAGACTGAGATTGGGACTGGTTTGGACGGCGCGGAAAGAAAAGATGGGGGAGAGGGAAGGAGAACCCCAGGGGCTTGGGCGACCCCTGTACTAGGAAGATTTGGAGATCGGATAAGATTTGGAGGGTGGACTTAGTGAACCGCAGGAAAGAGGAGGAGTTGCAGAGGAGATATGGCTGGGGATGGGGAACCCAGGGCCAATCTCGGGATCGGAATGGGGAAGGACTGGCGGTATCTCGGTCCCTCCCTGGAGCTGTAAACTGTAGTTCTATCGCTTTAAACCTCCGGGTCTACTTGCAGGAAGACCCGCGCCCTGCACGCCCCGCCTGCCCCCCTCCCCGCAACTTCACCCAAGGGTTGTAGGGGATCCTTTAGCACCTCTAGTCAGGCCACCCTCCAGCTGAGCAGCAAGGAGACAAATGAGGTCCAAAGGTCGGATGGGACTAGTCCAAGGTCGTGCAATCATTTAGGGCTGGGTAGCGTTTTATGCCGAAAGGAGGGGAAGAAAGGTGTGGGGGTAGAGTGTGTGTTAGGTGATAGGTGAGCAAGCATTCCTATTTTGGTAGTACACCCAGAGCATAGAAGGAGCTTCGGGTTTGTGTCCTGTTCCTTGTTTAGAAGCAGCTGCCCTGTTATCTTAAATTTTCCTCAGTGGCCATGAACGTATTTGTACCATCAAACCTAGTAATTTCACACATGGGACAGCCGTCTTAGGAAATAGGCCTACCAGACAAAATTTTTATACTAGGAAAAATAAGAAAGAACCTAAAAGTTTTGAAAGGGAAGTGGTTAAGTAAACTACCTAACATCTTCAAAATGAGATATTGTGCAGTCAAGGTAGTTTCAACATCAATGTAAACATTTTCTCTTTGTTGAAGAGTTGATGGGGAATTGGAGAAATGCTTTTTTTTTTTTTTGTATTAAGTAAAAAGTGTAGGAGATAAAATTGCATATGGTATATGATTTTTTTTTTTAAAAGAAAACTATTTGTGTATAAGCAATACACCAAAATACTAATAGTGATGATTCCTGGGTAGAGGAATATGGTTGATATTTTTTCTCCTTTTGTTCTACCTTTACATTTTTCCTAATCGTTTTCTTTTTTCTTTATTTAGGATTATTACCTTATCAGAGTTCCAAAGAGGAATTGTGGTCAAAGACATGGTTTTCATGGTTTTCTCTTGACCAGGCTCCCTGACTCTCTCTCTTTCCCACTCCTGGCTACCCTGCTCCGTCCACCCCCAAATCACTCCTTCCATCCAATCAAGCCCCAGTTTAGAAGTTATCTCCCTATAAGCCTTTAAAAATCCAAGTTGGACACCTCTGCCAAGTGGTCACAGTCCTAGAAAAGCTCTTACTTCCTTCTGCTCTCCTCTTTCCCCCTTTTGGGGGATGTGGCAGACGGCTCTGGGAGAGATTTCCAATGATTGCCCTTTGGGAACAGGTGGACACTTAGGGCTGGATCCTAGTGACTGGGTCTCTTTGGTCCATGAGCATCACCTAATTATAGAGGACAGATGTTGGGTTAGATCTATGGCTCAAACTGCACTGGTCAGTTTCTCTCCAGTGAATGTGTCTGTTGGAACTGAGAGGTGGATGCTGGGGGTGGTTAGAGAACAGGCAATAGTGGTGGGTCCTGCCTCCTGTGCTCCCCACAGTCTGGTGGTTGGGCTTGTCCTTGGATTCAGTGAGGTACTTGTAAATTTGCTGCTTGCTCTGAGACTGGAAGCTATGTGAGGGCAGGGATCTATCTATATGGTTCATCATAAAGTTTTCAGTGTCAAAGCACTTGATTAATATTTGTTGAATAGATGGATGATGGATGACTTGAGCTCTGGAATCAAGAGGCAGTACAGCATAATGATTGAGAGCACTGACTCTAGATCTAGTCAGACTGTGCTGGAATCCTGGCTCTGCCACTTACTAGCCTGGGGACTTGGGAAAATTACATAGCTTTACTATACCTCAGTTTCCTCATCTGTAAAATGGGGAAGATAGTAATCTCAGGATTGTTGTGAACATTATTTGAGTTAATAGATATAAACCACTTATAACAGTATCTGGCACATATTAGGTGCTCAATAAGCATTAGTTATTATTATTGGCTAAATTAGTTACAATTAGGTTTGGCAAGTAACAGAAAAGGCCAAAATAAGTTTACGTTTTTTCTCATCTTCAAGAATTTAGAGGTGATCAGATAGTTTTCCTCAGAGTCAGGGACCAAAGCTGCTCTTTGATCTGCCATGTATGGTGCTGTGGATTGAATGTCTCCCCCCCCAAACTCACTGAAGCTTAAATTGTGTCCCCCAAACTTCCGGGTATTAGGAACTTGGCCCCCTCTGTGAAAGTATTAAGAGCGTGGGAAATCCTATTATAATTGAAAGGTGGGGCCTTGAGGAGGTGATTAGATTGTAGGACCATGTCTTACTTAGTTCATGGGTGTGGTTCTGAGGGCTTTAAAAGAACAGTATGTGAGAGTCTCTCTCTCTGCTCCACCATTTTATGCCATGTGAGACCCCTGTGTTGCTGTAAAGCCACCACCAAAGAAGACCCTCACCAGATGTGTTCCCTGGACTTTGGACTTCCCAGGCTCTGAACTTGTAAGCAATACATTTCATTTTCTTTATAAATTACCCAATTCCAGGTATTTTGTTATAAGCAACAGAAATGGACTTACACATATGGCTTCCATTCCAAAGGTTACCTCATGACCAAGATGGCTACTGGGACTGAATCTATTTTGGGCATTGTAGCCCAAAGGAAGGAGGAAGGGGGAGGGAGGGCTCACCTCTGCTCTTTAAAGACACTTTCCAGAAGTTGTAGGTGAACCTCCCCCTTATATCTCTTTCACCAGAATTTGGCCATACCTAATGACAAGTGGAGCTGAGAAATGTAGTATTTATTCCTGGTGGCTGTGTGCTCAGGTACAAATGGAGGTTCTATTACTTGGGTAGAAGGGTAGAATGTGTATTTGGGGCACAACCAGCCATCTCTGCCATACATCTTTTTAGAATGTCCCTATCCCC